TTTTTCAAAAAATTTTTAAAAAATTTTTTTTTTTTTTTTTTTAAAAAAAAAAAAAAAAAAAAAACAAACATTGCAGAAAAATAACGGAAAATTTTTTTTCACTAAAAAATCAAATCAATTTGGCTGATGGTTGTTCGCGTTGCTGAACTAAGCGCAAAATTTTTTACAGGCAATGAAATTAATCAATCGATCGAATCGAATCATATCATCATCAAAAAACAAAAAATTTAATAAATTGCTATTTCGGCTGGAATTGCACTAGAATTATCAGTTCTATATGTTTCTTCTGTACCATAATAACTGATTTTTATATTTCCACCATCGTATACACCGTCGGTTTGTGGTAAAGAATATGCGGCACCAGAATATGATGTTTGTTGCGGTAGTTGTTGTTGATATGGTGATTGTGGTTGTGGAATTGCATAATGATACATTGGCGGTGGTGATATAGGAGCAGCAGCAGCTATTTCAGCCATTGGATTCATTACCATTGATGAACCAGCATTAGCATAATGTTGTGCATAAGAATTCAATTGCGGAACAAGATTTTGATAATATCTAATCATTTGTCTTGCATGTTCCAATTCTTTCATACTGGATTCCATTTGTGATTGTGCAGCCATTAGTTTCATTTGACTATCATTTAAATCAGTTTTGGCTGATTTTGTCAGATCTTTTGCCATATTATCATAATTATTTGTAGAACGACCATCATATGGTTTACCATTACAAACTTCAATATCTAATAATCATGATTGGAATCAGATTAATTGTATAGATTGATCAGATTAGATAAGAAAAGAAAACAAAAAACTTACATCGATAAATAATTTTAGGTTCATTATTAGTAGGATTTACGTAGCTTGCTGAATTTGTTTGACTTTGATATGCAGAATAATCGGTTTTTGGTTGTAATAATGGTGGAACATTTGTTGCATAAATTCTCATTGGAATTTTTGGCCGTTCATATGAAATCAATGGCGGTTGAGTATTGTATTGTCCAGCACCAGTATTGTTTACCTGTTGAACAGGTTTAGGTGATCCATAAGTCATATAGGATGTTAGATTCGGTGATTGTTGTTGACCGGTTGTTGTCGTTGTTGAATAATTGGCAATCTGACCACTGTAAACGGTAGCAGATGGTGATGATAATGGTAATGGTACTTGTGGTGTTGAATAATTTTTCATTGGCAATGGTGGAGGTGGTAACGGACGATATGAATTGGATGTCACAGGCAAAGGATATGGCGCTTGTGCAGCTGCAGGTGCTGTATAATTCATATAAGTCATCGGTTTTGCCATTACTCGAACATTTTCAACAGGTCGGCTGTTTGGATTCGGTTTTTTCATATAAGTTTGTACGACAAATGGTCGTGCATTGGCCATCGGTATCGGTGTGGATGCCGATGGTAACTGATATTGACCTTGACGTCTTCGTACAATTGTCTGATCGGAAATGTTTGTCTCAACCGTACGATTCATTTGTATGCCAGGCATTTCTGTTTGATTGAATTTTGAAATTAGATTGAATCAAAAAACATAAACAAAACAAAATCAATCAAAACAAACCTAATGTAAAACTCATATTTTTATTTTTCAATTCACCCAATGATATTGGTGTTGAACCTAATTGTTGACGAATTTGTTCAACAACTTGTTGTCCAATTTGTTCTGGTTGATTTGGTACAACAAATTGTATATCCAATGGATTAATCATTAATGAATCGATCATCATTTGATCATGATCTGATGTCAGTGATGGTGATGAATTGACCGATGTAAAAGCATTGGCCATCGATTGATTTTGTCCAATTAGATTTAATCGAATTGCCGGATTGATTGCCGAATTGTTAATCGAAGATGGCTGCTGTTGTTGACTATTTGGCCATATCATTTGTGATATGGTTGCCATTGTCGGGCTACAATTATCAATCATTATCATCATTGTTCCTGTCGAAAAAAACAAAACAAAAAAATTCAATGATCAAATGACAATATTCCGAATAGAAAAACATTACCCAAACAGATCCATAATGACAACTTGTTGCTTATTCGATTTGTAAACATCATTATTTGTTATGTTCAATGTTTTGCTATGTTGTGGTTCGAGTAATAAAATGTTAATTATGAATATATGAAAGTGGATATGAAATATTGATTGATTGATTTTTTCCTTGATTAATCAATCGATTATCATCAAAAAAAAGATGCCTACATTTGCAAAAACCAATCAATCGAATAAACTCAATCGTGATTCATTCATAAAAGTCGTTATGTTTCCGTATCCTATTCGGTTGTGGTAATAATGATTTGTGAGCAAAAAAGCAAAATCATTTTGCAATCGAAAATAGCTAATCTTGATTGTTTTTTTTTTGTGATGACAATGTAAGTAAAGATTTTAAAACTTATTGTAAAATTGATTGCCAATGATTATCTTTTAAATTTATTTTATTTCAGGTTTTTCATCAATTAGGATTTGTTATTGTTTACCGCTGTAAAGATTATTACAAAGAAATTGAAATTTTTTTTTTAATTTAGGATAAATAAAATTTATTGTATAAAATTTTCGTTACAAAAATTGAAAATAACTATTTAATTAATTAATTTTAAGATTTTTTTTTTATTGAAATCTTTGTTCTGAAAAAAATTTGTTTTTTTTATTGTATAAATAGATTTGAAATATTGGTTCCAGATTTCATTCCGAATATATTTCGAGTTTATTTATAGGCGGCATATTTAGGTGCTGGTGGTGGGGGTGGAGCGTATGCTGGTGGTGGGGGTGGTGGTGCGTATGCTGGTGGTGGGGGTGGTGGAGCATAAGCTGGTGCTGGTGCTGGGGCATAAGCTGGTGCTGGTGCTGGAGCATATGCTGGTGCTGGAGCTGGAGCATATGATGGTGCTGGTGCTTCATATGCTGGTGGGGGTGGTGCGTATGCTGGTGGTGGTGGTGGTGGAGCATAGGCTGGTGGTGGTGGTGGTGCATATTCAGCAGCCGGGCTAGTGCAAATGCAAATTCCAGGATCTAAAAAAGCGGAAATGAATGAATGGATTTGACAAAAAAGAAAATTATATTCCTGAACTTACCAGCGTAAGCAGGTGCTGGAGGTGGTGGTGCATATGCTGGGGCTGGTGGTGGAGCATAGGCAGGTGGTGGGGGTGGGGCATAGGCTGGAGCTGGTGCTGGAGCATATGCTGGTGCAGGTGCTGGAGCGTAAGCTGGTGCTGGTGCTGGAGCATAAGCTGGTGGTGGTGGTGGTGGAGCATAGGCAGGTGGTGGTGGTGGGGCATAAGCTGGTGCTGGTGCTGGAGCGTAAGCTGGTGCTGGTGCTGGAGCATAACCATAATTTCTCAAATCAGTTGAATCTTTGCCATCGGCAGTTTCATTTGCCTGTCTCATAAAAACTCTACCTGTAAAAATGGAATGAAAACAAACAATTATAGTGGAAAAAATGTCATAGAATTGAATAAATTCAATACATACTGGAGATTGTTTTGTTCATTGCTATTTCGAGATGTCCAAAAATCAACAAAAAAAACAAATGATTGTCATTAATATTCGAAGATTATCCAAATGAATCAATCAATGGTATACTTACGGCCACCCACTTGTGCTGAAGCCATACCGGCCACCATTAAGGTGGCGATAATAATACGGAACATCATTATGTTCGGGAAAATGTTCGGGACGAAGCCGGGAAAAAAATGAATCAAAATTCTTTTTTAGCAAGTTAGCTTCTTTTTTTTGATGGCTGTAGGATTTTGTTTGGTTGTTTATTTTTCACCAGATTTGCTTCGATGATTCGAATGATTTTCAACAACGGAATAGTCAGGATATTTATATGAAAATTGAATCAAACAAAAAATTTAAGAAAAAATCTTGATTTCACCCGAAGAAGTGACAAAAAACGCTTAAATGCTTGCATCAGCATTGTCCAACCAAAAAGAAAAAGTGTTTGCCATTTGATAATGATGAGAGTTTGCTGATTCTTGAATTTATTTTTTTTTGCAAACCAAAAAAAAAATCGATTGATTGACAATCTTATTATCGAACTCGAAACGAACGATCAATTTTTCTTTCACTCTTTGGGTACGTATAAAAATGATATGAGATTCTTTTCGCGGAATTTTAAAAATTTAAATTTTTTTTCGATATCGATAGTATTGTCGAATCGTCCTTCACTTGTGGTTCACATGTGTTTTCGAATTCTTAATTTTCATTCGAAATTTTTTTTTTGTAATTTTTTTTCTTTTGGTTAAAATGGCTACATTTCAAAGTGGACGAGATCGTCGTCGTTTACAAAGATATTTGACCAATTATGATGATAAATCGACAAAAATTTTATCAACCACCACCACCACCACCACCAAAAATAATAATGCTGATGATGTTGATGATGATAATGGCAGAAGAAAAAAAAGTAAAAAGCATCGTCAGCAATCATCATCATCATCATTGGTGATGAACAAAATCAATCATAAGGATAAAGAAGAAAAAGACAAAAATGATGATCATAATAAAATGTCTAACGATAATAATAATAATGAATTTCAACTGGAATTACGAAAAGATGTTGAATGTTTTTTACGAAAACATCGTTCAACTAATGAACAAATCAATGATGAATATTCTGTATCTGATAATGATGATGATTTTCTCGAATCAGTGAATCCGATCAAAAAGCCAAAAAATAAATCTAATGATGATGATGATCATCGTCATATGGAACAACAATTGGAACAACGAAGTCAAAATTTAGCAAAACGTGCTCGTCAAACATTATCAGCATCAATGTTTCGTTATTTGAATGAATTTCTTTATACACATTGTTCATTTGAAGCAAGAAAATCATTTGATTCAAATCAATTCCAAAAATATCATCAAGCATATGATCTAATTATGCAACAATGGCCATTAAAACCTATAGAATATATTATCGATCGATTACAAGAACGGATTCTAAAACCGGATCATCGAACAGTAATAGCCGATATTGGTTGTGGTAATCAAGCAAGAATTGCTGAAGCTTTTCCAAATTGTACAGTTTATTCTTATGATCTTTATTCGATTGACAATCTAAAAATAATATCAGCCGATATGTGTCGATTACCATTAGATGATAATCAATGTGATTATGTAATCTATTCATTATCATTGATGCCTAAAAATCTTTCCGATGTTTTTTGCGAATGTAATCGTATTTTAAAATTAAACACTGGTTATGTGATGATTGTTGAGGTTGCATCTCGTTTTGCTGATTATGGTAAAAAATTGCAAATTAATTCAACAAAAGCTAAACAACAATCGATGGATAATCAAAAATTTGCTGCTGATTTTGAAAATTTTACCAATGATTTACGACAAAATTTTGGATTACGTTTAATTGAATATAATCTATTACCACCAAATAATTATTTTGTTTATTTTTTATTAAATAAAATTAAAACAATCAATGTAACACGATCGGCTACAATGATACAGCTAAAACCTTGTGTTTATCGTCATCGAATCGGACAACAGCAAACAGAATCGACAAACGAATGAAAAAAGAAAAAGAAAATTATAATTTGAAAATGTTGACCAAAAATTTGATAAAAATTTTATTATTTTCATTGTTTTTGGTTGTAAATAATTTTTTTTCAATTCAAATCGAATCAATAAAAATTTTAACATCTAAACATAGAATACCGACTATTATTATCCATATCGATACAAATGGTCATAATAGTCTTGATAATCATAATCAGGATAAGGAAATTTTATCGAATAATAATGTTCGAAATAATTTGAGTCATGATGATATTCGACATTCGAAATCGATTCTCGTTCGTTTACATTATCATTATCATCATGGAAATGATCAAAATAATGATGATGAAAATTATCAGCTAAGATTGGTTAATCGATCCGCAACTGATCATAATCATCGATATCGTATTATTCATGTACGAAGATTAAATCTGTCCGATTCAATTTTACATTCATCGAATAATCAATCAAAATCATTCGAAATTATTGAATCAAAATTGGCCACAATCGTTGATGATGATCCATCGATACGAATGATTCGATTTCGGACAATGAATAAAACCAATATAACGAATCAAATCTATACTAGTCCGGATCGTTCTACATTTTTATTGGTTACCATCGATAAGAATAATGAATCAATGATTCGTATATATGGTTTAATCGATAGTCAGATGATGATATTACCATTACAAAATCAATCAATTCGAAATAATTTTCATCGTATTATCAATGATGAATATCATAATGAATGGTTACGATCATTGTTTGAAAATTATTCGAACATTCATTTGAAAAACCATCATCATCAATTCATGCAAAAAAATCATATTTATCCAGAAATAACATTATTGATTGATTATCATATTCATCGAATGGCACATGAATATAATGATATTGATTTAACATGGCGTTATGGTGTTATGTTTGTACAGATGTTACAATCATTATTGTTCGAAACGATTGATGATTCCAATTTTCAAATTCATTTACATTTGAAACAAATTCTTGTAGCCGAACAACCATGGTCATTTCAATTGATACGACCAAAATTAACCGGATCTTTATTGAATCGAAACAAAACAGACAATTTAGTAAATGCAATGAATGCTTTACAAAAATTTGGTCAATGGATTTACAATCACAGCGATAATGTACAAAGTGATTTAATTTTAATTTTAACCGGTGATGATCTTTGTCTTGATAATAATGATGATGATAATAATCAAAACAATCGTACCAAACATTTATATGAATCATGTTCATATTCATCGGTAAAAGGACAGGCAATAGTTGGTGGTGCATGTCTTCATCATCATCATAATAATCGTTCATTAAATCTGGCTATTGTTGAAGATTATGGCCTTAAAATGGATGGTCTACATGCAATGGCACATGAATTAGGTCATCTATTGGGCGCTGTGCATGATGGTGAATGGCCAATATCAACGATTGCCGGTCCCGGAGGTACAAATTGTCGTGATAAATTATCATCCATAATGAATATTGATCATTCAACAATTAAACAATACAATCAATGGTCCAAATGTACATTGGAACAATTTGAACATTTTTTCTCTCAACCACAATCCATATGTCTTTTTAATGAACCACATTCCAATCAATGATTGAAAATTGAAATGAAATCAAAATTTATTTTTTATTTGTTCAAATCAAAATAATAAAGAATCTAATTAAATAATACTGGTTTTTTTCAGGCAAACAACAACAAGACACAACCAAAAGTTTTTTGTTTTTCGAGAAAAAAAATTTTCCTTGATTCAATCAATCAATCATCATCATCATTGTATTGTATCAATACTTTAACAACATTTTGATGTTCATCATCGGATGGTGTACCAAGTAAATTGAAAGCATCCAATGCTTGTTCAATCGGAAAACATTGTGTAATCAATGGTTTAACATTAATTTTACCACTTTCAATCAATTCAATTGCCAATGGATAACTGTATGAAGGGAAAAAGAATAGAAAAATTAATCCTCAATTCGACAATAGGGAAATAAATAGAAGGAAAAAAAAATACTTACTCATCTTTGATACGGCAAACACCAATCAAATCAATTTCTTTCATTGTCATTGTTGACAATGGAATTCCGTTGGATGGTTGACCTAAACCAACAATAGCAATACGACCACCATGTTTTGTTGCATGAATAGCCATCGATTGTGATGATCCAACACCTGTACATTCTAATGTAATATCCGGTGAACGGCCCATCATTTGGACAATATGTTGTGCACGATCAACACTGCTTAATTCTTTTTGTGATAAATCAATCCAATAACAATGATCGGCACCCATTTTTTGTGCCAAATTCAGCCGGCTTTGTTTAATATCGGTTACACAAACACGATTTGAACCAAATGCTTTTGCAGCTAACATTGCCATAACACCAACTGGACCAGCACCACAAACTAAAACCGAATCACCTGGTTGAATTTTAACACGACGACATGCATGAATTACTACAGCTAAAGCTTCGATTAAAGCACCTTCTTCCAATGAGATCGAATCCGGCAATCTTAATTTCAATTCGGTAATAATGATGCAATAATGATGCAACAATCAATCAATCAACGCAATTTAATCAGACAAAAAAAATATACTTACTTGAAACAAAAATCAGCACGATGTGTATAATAACGTCGTAATGAACCATCCGAATTTGGTAAACCATGTGATTGTAGATTCGATATCGGGCAAAGATTATAACGTCCTGATCGGCAACGGTCACATTTCAAACATGGTATAGCCGGTTCAACAGCAACACGATCACCCGGTTTCAAATGATGAACATTATTACCACATTTCATTACCACTGCAGATGGTTCATGTCCTAAACAAAATGGACGTTGTAAACGAAAATCCGCAACTTGTGCATGACGCCATAAATGAAGATCTGTTCCACAAATTCCTGTACTATGTGATCGTAATAAAACTTCTGTTAAAATGAAACAAAATAAAATCATTAATCCAAATTCAATTCAATCGAATCAATCATTATTTACCATCATTTCCAAGTTTATCCGGTAATGGCCATTGTTCTAAACGTAAATCATTTTGTCCATACAAAACTATGGCAAGATTTTCTTTACGAAACAAATCCATTGATAATGGTATTGGATCCATCTTGTATGAATCGTTAATCGATGGAATCTATTCAAAAAAAAATTGTAAAATAATAATCGGAAATAACGAAAAAATTAGCAAAAAACAAGTTATGCAAAATTTGCATACTTTTTTAAAATTCAAGTCAAGTGCTTTGCAACTACAACTAGATTGAAACAAAAAAAAACAAAATGTACAAATCACAAGGGCAATTCTTTCTTTCTCCACTAATTCTGGAATGAGCAACCGAAAAAAAAAATTTGATGATGATGATGTAAATGAATTTGACTGTTGCATCATCATCATGAAACAATTATTATATAGCCGATTCTGTAGTTGTATCCCCACACACACACAGAATCCTACCTAACTGAATATTCTAGGATGATGATGATGAAAATGTTGATCGAAAATTGAAATATCGACATAACAATTATATATATAGAATGCGAAAAAAAGAAAGATTTTTCTACTTACCCATAAATGATCATTATTATTAACAATGGTAATTGAATTTGGTATTATCATAGTTGAAACATTCGATTCTTGTATCTGCTGTTGTTGTTGTTGTTGTGGTGGAATAATTTTTGTTTCGCTATTTGTTTGTTGTTGTTGTTCTCCTAATGTTTTACTAAAATCTTCCAAAAATCTATTCAATTCATTTTGTTCATTTTGTTGTTGTTGTTGTGGCTTTTTTCGAGTAGAACTTCTTGTACGTTTTTTTACACAATCACTATTTCCAGAAGAAGAATATGTTGTAGCAGGAATATCCATCATTTTATGTTTATGTATTAAATGTAATTGTAAACCACGAGTATTATCACCAATCGTTCGAATCATACAATTACAGATTTTACATTTTGATGACATTCTATCGGAACTTCTTAAAAAATAATTCCATACTGGTTGATTAAATGTTTCCGTTACTGGATGATATGTTTCATCATCGATTAACATTTGTCGATGAGTTCGTTTCGGTGTTTGTTGTTGTTGTTGTTTTGTTAGGTTATTGTTGTTGTTGTTGATGTTTGATGATGATTTTCTTTCATTGGGTGATTGTTCCATGACTGATTGAAATTTTTGTTGCGCAGAAAGATCATGAATTTGATGATTAAATTTAATATGAAAAACAAGACTTTTTTTTAGGCCAACCGATCTTAATGTTTGTGAACAAATTTTACATGTTGCCCATTTTTTATCATCATTTTCATAAAAATAATTCCAAATATATGGTAGATCGTCCTATAGTATTTTGGGTGATTTTGGACTTAATTCAAATTATCATTCATTCATTCAATGAGAACAAACCTTAAAATTATAATTTATTACATCAGATTTTCTCCAGATTTTAGTCATTTTCATCAACAACAAAAAAAAAATTCTTTGGAATATTCCCAACAGACGACAGCACATGGAATCAATGGCCAATTTATAGTTTGAAAGTTGTTCAACGACAAAAAATGCTTCATTTTGCGCAAAATTTAAAAAACCAATTTACAGTTACATTGAAAAATTTTTCAAAGTAACATAAAAAAAATCAGATAATGATTACTAATCTTAATCAAATAGGTGCAATGAGAGAGAGAGAGAGAGAGAGAGAGAGAGAGAGAGAGAGAGAAAACAAAACAAAAAAAAGAAAGGGAAAAAATAGGCTTTTTTCTGATTGATCATTGTCAAAATCAATTTTTTTTGCACCGATCGAGTTAGTCGAAAGGAAAAGTTTGATCGAAAAATGCCGTTATCAAACATTATTGTTTATTGGTTACATTATTGTTTCTATACAATTCTTATATTATGTATTCCATTCATTTATCTACCATTGTTATTCGAATTAAATCCATTTGCAATCGCATATTTATTATGGTATATTTGGGATTTTCAAACTTGTGATTATGGTTCAAGACCTTTTCGATGGTTACGACAATTATCATTTTGGTCATATTTTACTCAATCATTTCCATTGCATTTAATTCGTTCAACACCATTATCATCTGATCGTAATTATATTTTTGCTTGTCATCCACATGGAATATTCAGTATTTCTACTGTTCATTCAATCATTACCGATGGTCAACAATTTTCCCAATTATTTCCCAATCTTCAACCATATTTTGTTACAATATCACAACAATTTTGGCTACCTTTTTATCGTGAAATCTTATTGGCATTTGGTTTTTGTTCAGCAAAACAAAAAAGTATTGAATATATTTTAAAACAGAAACCAAATTCAAATGTTGGTGGAAACATTGTTGCAATCATGATTGGTGGTACTAATGAAGCAATCGAATCATTTCATTCAAATCGTTTAATATTAATCGTTAAAAAACGTCGTGGTTTTTTACGTTTGGCATTAAAAAATAGGTATACCCTGGATAGAATTTGTCAAAAATCTTTTCACTAAAATATTTCTTCAAATTCATTTATAGAGCATCGATTGTACCTGTAATATCGTTTGGTGAAAATAATCTTTATCATACTGTTAATTTACCTGATTTACCATCATCATCATCATTGATCCTAAATTACATACAAAAAACATTCAAATCAATAATTGGTTTTCCATTGAAAATATTTTATGGAAATTTACTTTTTTTTCCTTATCGAAAACCAGTTTGGACTGTTGGTAAATATATAGTAGCTTTTGACATAGTTTTTTTTTTTAATTTGTTTGCTAACACTATTGTCTTTTTTCTTTTGTTTCTATTGTTTTTATTCAATGTATGAAAAACAAATATAAACAGTCGGTGAACCAATATTGATCGATGAAAAAATATCCGAACCAACTAAACATCAAATTGATCAATTACAAGAACAATACATTAATGCATTACAAAGGTTATATGAACAATATAAACATCAATATAATCATGGCAATATTGAATTGGTAATCAAATAATGTTGATACGGCTTATTTAATCATTCATCATTTTCCTGGATCGTTTTTCTCTCAACCTTTTTTTCATTCGTCGTAATTTTGCACGTTTCATCATTATTTTTAATCGTGAATTTCTTGTCATTGCTTTCTGTATTTTTCGTTTATTAAATGCTTTTAATTGAGCATCAGACATTAATTCATCCAATATGGTTTGTTTACGTTGACGTTTAGTTAATCGTCCGGAATAATAATCACTAGCCGTTTCTTGTACTGTACCAATTTGAAAATATTTTGATCGTTCATCTACCATTCCATCATTGCCAGCCGAAATTTGACTGGATTTTTTATAGAATTGTTTTGGATTCCATACACGACGCATTTTCAATGCCGTTAGATCTTTTTCCATTTCTTTAGTTAATTCTTCTACACGTGGCATATCAAACCATTGTGATAATGAACGATTTCGTTGTTGACTAAGTTGTTTTTTTCGTTGTCGTCTTGATATTCGTAATGGTTTGATCATAAGCTGTTGTTCAATATCATCGGTTAAAGTCATTTTCATTTGTAAATCTTTTGTTCGATGATTCATCAGATTTTCATTCAATCGTTTACGTTGTTCAGTCAAAGGTAAATCAAATTCAAGATAAGGTCGATTGTTGTTGTTTTCATTTTGATAATCATCGATTGCTGTACCGAATACACGTTTAAATTGTTCGGAAATATCTTTATCATTATTATTATCATCATCATATTCGTTGCCAAGTTGACAATCTTGTTCGGTGAGACAAATATTATCAATGTTATACATCATCGATATTGGCTTATCATCATTGCGTGAGCCAATTTTTAATTGTTCAACTTTTAAAAAAACTTTTGAAAATCATTCATTAAAAGATCGTTCATCTATCAATCAATCAATCAATCAATTAGACTTACTATTATCCGGATTAATGGTTTGCAGTCTAGACTCAAAAGACTCCAAATCTGATGATTGTTGTTTATGTTTCGAAACAATCGATTCGAAACGTTGTTCCAGTATAGGATCATTTGGATTTAATAATAGATAGCCACAACTTTTTGCATGCATTTTAGAAGAACGTAATGATGATAATGAACTTTCACTACAAATGGATTCAGTTTCCGAACATGGATCCATCATTTTTCGCATTCGGTTTTCGGTTGGTCCTTCAATTCAACAAAAACAGCAGCAGCAGCAGCAACATGTGAGTTTGGTAAAGATTTCCGGGCAATTTTTTTTTTACGTGAATAAAAATATTTCGAAAACATTTCCAATGTTAATTTTAATATAAAATTTTTTATTTTCATTTTTTTAATTATTTTAAATTGTATTGTAACAAAAAATAAATAATTTTCAAACATTAAAAAACAATATTTCAATGATTGATTCAAGAGATTAGAGATTATAAACTTATTCGACGGAATTTTTTTTTTGTTTTGCAATCAAATCAAAATCTCCTACTTAGAATACAAAGACCAATAGTTGTAATGATGAAAAACGTCATTGGCAATGTTGATAATCGTAGATATTCTACACGTTTCTGTTCTTTTTGTTCATTGATACGTATCCATTTTCGACAACGTCGTACAGCAGCACGCCAATTATCTATTCGTTCTTGTCGTTGATCTTCATCTAATTCCGGTCGAAATATATCATATTGTAATCGTATTGTTTCATTGATTGGTTCACTTAATAAATGCGTTGCTATCGATTTGGGCTGCGGCATTGATTGTGATGTTGATGTTGATGATGATAATGGTAATGATGATGATGATGATGATGATACTGATGTTGTTGATGTGGTCATTGTTGTAGTTGTTGTGGTCGATGATGATGATGATGATGATGTTAAGAATGATGATAATTGTCTTTTCAGATGATTAAATGTGGAATCTTGTGGATGTGAACGATTGGAAATAATATTAATGTTACCATTACAATTATTCATCGATTGTTGATTATTATGATTATTATTGATTAGATCACCATTAGTATTTTGTTGTTGTTGTTGATGATAATGGTCAGCTTTCAATAAACGTTGCCATAAACCACAATGATGACTAGCAACTAATGCAGCACCAAATGCAGTAGATTCAGCCATTTTAGCACGTAGAATTAGATTGCCAGTAACATCGGATAGAATTTGACATAATAAATCATTAGAACTCATGCCACCATCAACACGTATTCCATAATTAAGACCATTACGCATTAGGCAAAGTATATCGTTTGTTTGATAGGCAACACCTTCCAATGTAGCTCGAATTAGATGAGATTTTCGTGAAAATTGTGATATGCCAATTATCAAACCAGATGCATATGCATCCCAATATGGTGCATATAAACCTTGGAATGCTGGAACAAAATATAAGCCACCAGAATTAGAATCCATTCGTGCTAGATCTTCAACCTGGCCATAATTATCGATAATTTCTAGATTATCACGTAACCATGTGATAGCTGCACCAGCAATAGCAATCGATCCTTCCAATGCATACCAAGCCATTTCATCGCCCAATTTAAATGCAACCGTAGTCAACAGTTTATGACGGGCTTCTTCTGGTACATTTTTGTATGCACCATGTAATGGACCGGGTCCAATATTTTGCATAAGAAATGCTCCGGTACCATAAGTAACTTTAATCTGGCCAATACTTAAACATTTCTGTCCAACAAGAGCAGCATTTTGATCACCAATCACACCGGTTATCGGTATCGACATTAATGGACCATTTTGTATTTCACCAAACATTGAACTGGACGGCCTGATTTCCGGTAAAATTGACATTGGAATTTTAAAAAAATCACATAACCATGGATCCCATTCAAGTGTTTCAAGATCCATCAATAATGTACGCGATGCATTAGTAACATCAGTCAAATGTTTACCGGTTAGATTCCATAATAACCATGAATCAATAGTGCCAAACATTAATGTACCAGCTAACATTGATCGACGAACTTGAGCAACATTTTCGATTAGCCATTTTATTTTCAATGCACTAAAATATGTTGATATCGGTAGACCAGTTTTACTTTTTAACCAATTCATATCACGACCAGGTACACGATCAATAACAGTTTCGACTAGATCACTAGTACGATTATCAAGCCATACTATCGAATTATATAATGCTTTTCCTGTATCAATCCCAGAATAAAATTAATCAAAATGATTATTAACCAATTAATTATTATGAATTATAATCATAATCAACATACCTGTTGTACGTTCCCATAATATAGTGGATTCACGTTGATTAGTGAGACCAACACAACGAATATCGGATATTTGAAAACCTAATTCGGGAAGTTTTTTTGCAACAACATCAATACAACGTGTAACTGATGATAATATTTCGGCCGGATCTTGTTCAACCCATCCTTCATTTGGATAGATTTTTTTAATTTCAATCTGATGATATGTAACTAATTCACCGGTTTCGGTGGAAAATACTAAAAATCTTGATGATGATGTTCCTTGATCGATTGCGGCTACAAGTTTATCCGTCGGTTTTGTATTTGTCAAATTATGATGATCATTATTAATATTATGATGAGGAGGAATATCACCAATTTCATTCAACATTGATATTTCATTCATTATGTTTTCTTGACCATACGACAATGATGATAATGATGATGATGATTCGTCTAATGCAGGACTTTCTAGAAACATATTTTAGGAATTCAAATTATTACTTTTTTTTTCGGGGACAACATATACAAAAAAATAAAATAAAATAATAACAATTCAATCAATCAATATGAAATATGTTTTGACAACAACAAACAAACAAACAAACAACAACTTTTTTATATTAAATATATAACATTCGAACCTAACCCACACCAAAATGGATGGATGATAATAAAATCATTGAACAAATTATTTATCGAATTAGAAGATACCATATTAATTTATCAAACAACAAACATCAAAAAGATTCTTTTCACTTTTTTTTTGTTCTATATCACTCTTTATTGATCAAATCAAAATCAGAATTGCCCAAAAGAAAAAAAAATGGATAATGAGTTTTGTGGAAAACTTTTCTTGGCAAACACTCAATCAATTGATTGATTGATTGATTGATGTAACAAACACTAACCAAAATGATAATGATAATGAAAAAACACTAAATCACATTTCATAATATTTATCACATTTTTGATTTCTATCTTGATTCGAAACGAAATAAAAAATAAAACAACAACAAACCAACCTTGACCATTGTGATTGTGGAAAATACCGATACAAACAAACAAAGATTATCAACGTATTTCCTTTTCCGATGACGACAACATAATAATCTATTTAAATACAACATTAACAAACAACAAAAAAAAACAATCATTCATTTCCTTCGTCAATCGATCGATCGATCGATCGGGATCATGAATGAGAAAAAAAATTGTAATATGGTGATTAAAGAATTTCCAAAAACTAAAAAAAAAAAATTTGCTACATTTCAACAATATTATCATCATCATCATCATCATCAATAACACACATATCATACTAAATCCAAAGGTTATTTAGTGATTTTTTGTTTGTTTGTTTGTTTATTTCAAACAATCAAACAAGTTCAAAGTCGATAGTATCCTGCACGCCTATAGTTTTTTGGACAACAACAACAAAATCTCGAATTTTGATAAAAACAAAAACAGTTCATGATGCCATAATGGTGAAACTCTTTTTTTTTTCTTTCAAAATTTTCAATATCAAATCTAATCAACAACAAACAAAAAAAAAACGAAAAACGAGTCGAATCTCCCCGAAACAAACAAAAAAAAAAATTATCAGGAAAAAAATTTCGATTTGAATCAAAATATAGGCAATCGGAACGCACACACATTGATTATTGACAGGAAAAATTTATTCATTTTCTCAATTCAAACTTAATTAAAAAAAACAAAATCAAATTTTATGCTCTAAAAATTGAAACACACATACATACATTTTATATAGACACATTTAGACATAACAACAACAACAACTATTTTAATTTGAAACAAAAAATTCATTCATTTAGATGTGACAACAACAGAGTTTGCAATTGAAAATAGAAAGTAACCCATCAAATGGATAGTGTGATATTTTTTTTTATATATAAAAAAAATTTGTCGATTACGAAATTCAAATCGATTCACCGGATATATATTGAGTTGACCTTCAAGTCGATGATGATGATATCAACTTAATTTAGTATTTGGTTTTTTTTTCGGTTGACAATCAATGTTGGTCCATATATGAATGGGCCAGACCAAAATTAATATTTTGTACATTATACACACACAATTAATAATATTGATTACTTTTACAATTCCCTAAAAATAACAAAGTTTTTTATTTCGTGCCAAAATTAAGATCATATTTTTTTTCTTCCAGGTTGGATATAATACAGCGAAGAAGAAGAAAAAAAATTGAATTTTTTTTCAAGGTAAAAATAAAAGATATTTTTCATCTAAGGGTCGATATCAAGAAGATTCTGCATCGATTGAATGAATGATGACGATAATAATCCTATAGGATCATTATCATCATTTCAATGAAAAAAATGTTTGAAAGAAAAGATTTTTTTCCCTAATTCAATTAATAATACAGTTTTGGATCAATGTGAATGATGTGAATTTTACGAAACAAAAAAAAACTAATTAAAATTTTCTATATCGACAATACCTTTCACATTCAATGGGATTAACCTACTATATATTTCATTTATGATGATTCTATTATCAAATTCAACAAAAACATCATCATGTTTGTCGTCAATATATCGAACATAGTGATATATAGACAATAATAATCAAATTTCCAAATGTCTCATAGATTTGATTAAACAATTTGATTAATCACATTGGAAATTTTTTGTTTTTTTGTTTTTGGTAAAAAAAATTGTTCAGTTTTTTGTTTCTGGTGTTTTTCTTTCAATCATCATCATGATCATCATGATAATCACACATAAAATTCAAAGATTAGCCAAAGAAGAAAAAAAAATCATGTGACTTACTTGTGTGATGATAAAAAAGAATAATGAATGATGATGATTGTTAATGATGGTAAATAATAATGAATAATCTTGTCAAATTATTGATTGATTGATTGATAAGCACTATATGTAACAATCAATATATATGGTGTGTATGATAAATAACCAAAGCCAACAAGTTTGTTGAAATATATGTGGCAAATGCACACACCTACGCATAAAATAGAGAAATGAGATGAGATGATTTGGATCAATTTACATTTTTCGTTGTTGTTGTTGTTGTCAAAAATTTTTTCAAATTTCGGATTTTAAACTAGGAAAAAAAAATTTCTGAAATTCAATTTTTGTTGTCGTTTTTTTTCCGGCATTGTCTTTTGTTGGTTGTTGTGTATGTATTCAATTAACAAATCACATTGTTGTTGTTGTTGTTCATGTTCATGCTGATCATATGATGATGATAATGGTAAATGAATGAATAAGCTCGTCTGTTAAACTAAATAAATCCGAATCGATGGTGGTGGTGGTGGTTTTTCGTTTGCTTTGCTGGGTACATACACATCAAAATATCACTGGGTAACCAATCCTATATATTATTTGATTTTACTTAAAAAAATCCTTCGAATATTCTGGTGAACAGTCGCGTAGGCGATAAATGAATAAATAAAATCTATCTATATAACCGCAAAAAAAACAGAGAATATATATAGAAAAAAACATTAATATATTATAGTCAGGATATAATCAGAAAATCGGTATTCATACCATTTAATTATTGTTGATTGAGATGATGATCATATTACATATCATCATCATCATCATCATCATGTTTAAGTTTTTTGATTCGATTCGATTCTATACCATCATCATGATATCCACATGTTTTTATATGGCTTTCATAAACTTCTTTTTTTTTGTACATAGGTTTTTTTTCTGTTTCGAGGACAGATTTGGTATTTTCCCGAAAAAAAAACAAGAAAACAGAATGAATGAAAAACAACACGAAGAAATTCGAGAGAAAGTGAGAGAAGGAAAGAAATACTTTTTAAAAAAAACATCATCCATTTTTGTTATATAGCATGATGATATTTTTTGTCAGATTCGATGAAACGTCTATCGTTTTTCTTCATTCGTTTTTGTTTTTGTTGTTGTTCAAAAACATCACATGATGATGATGATGATGATGATGTAAATTTTTGGGAGAAATACTGATAATTAAAAGATCATCATTGATGATAAAGATGATGATTATGGTCAGGATGGCAACATTTTTTTTCTTATCGCTTATTCTCAAGGTTAATAACAATATTTTAAATGAAATTAATTTGTTTCAATTTTTTTTTCAAAAGGCATTTTCCATGGTCAGCTATAGACAATCTTGTTGTTTATTCGTGTAAACGTTCTTTTTTTTCTGAATGATAAAATTGAAAAAAAATCAATCATATGATGTAAATACTTAAAAAATACCTGTTTTGTTGCATTATTTTTTTTCGTCTCGAAATTATTCAAACAGACTGATAAAAGATGTTAATGATGATAATAAAAAAAGAACAAATTCATTTCGTTCAATCATTCTCGGTACAATTTTCAAAAATTCCGATGAAAAAATTTTTGATAAAAATAATGATGTTCACTGACCCCTTTCACTTTAAAAAAAACAAAAATTCTTTCAACATTCAAAAATTTTGCCGGATGTTCGAATATTCGAATGTTTAAATTATTTTCCAATATTGATCACTAGATGGTAGAAGTAATCAGTTTTTTTATTTATTTAAAAAAAATCGAACAACAAGATAACGCCATCTATAGTCATTGTTATCATCATCATCGAATGTTTCGCTTAAAAATTATTTCCCCTTAAATTTGGCTTCAAACAACAAACAAAAAAAAACATTAATGTGTGTCTTTTGTATAGGAAATTATATAATTTTTTTTGTATGGTTTGGGTGCAATCTGTTTCTTGTTAAAAGTGAAATTTTCTATGTGAAAAAAAAAAAGAAAATTCATTAAGTTTATTAAGGATTTTCCACAATGACAATGTATTGATTAATATTCGGTTGATGTATCGATTGCAAAGATTGCCTATCCAAACAAACAAACATAAATAATTCGATGACAACCCCTAAAAACAACACTCTCTCTCTATATATCCCCGAATGTAAAAAAAAAGAATGGATATGAATGTCATTGAATGATTCATGTGTTTAACAATCAATCAATCAATCGATCAATTCCAATTCGATTGCAATAAAAAAAAGAAAAGAAAAGATTATTTAGGAATCGAGCGAGAAAAGAATCTGATTATTACAACACAATATGTTGAACCGGTTTTTTTTAAAAATAAAATAATTACAAGTTTGATGATCATCATTATCATCATCATTTAGACATTGGATTTTTCCCAATGATCATCATTATCAAGTACAAACCAAAAAAAAATCAAATGATAAACATACAATTTGATTCCAAATTTAGCCAAAAAAAATAAAAAAACATGACTGGAAATTCTTGTTATTCGCCTCCCCGAAATAATAATAAAAAAACTGAACCTAAAAAATGAAAATAAAAAAATTTTAAAATTAATAAAAAAAATTAAAATGTTCTTCAATCAAGGAAGCGGATGCAACAAAAACAAAAAAAAAATGGAAATCATTCGAATCACCTTGAATCGAATGATTACATCACCAACCACAATGAATCGATATCATTCAAAACATCATATCCTGGTTTTGTTCTTGGTTTTTTTTTTGATTGTTGTTGTTTGTTTGTTGTTTTTTTCATTCGAACTACATTTCTTTCTTTATCGGAAATTAATTGTTACAATTCAGATGAATATATTTGAAATTGATTTTGATTCTTTCTTTTTTTTTCTACAATTCCTATGGTGGCAATAATGATTGTTGGTTTGTTTTAGGTTGCTTCGATCAATTTGTCCACCACCACCACCACCACCAACGAGCACCAAACATTTTAAAATGTCATGTATCTTCATTCGTTTTGTTAGTTCTGTTGTTTTGTTGGCAAAAAATGGCAATCAATTTTGTCTTTATCAATTTGACTCTCTTCTCCACACGAATTCTAATGGTTTTGATGTAATCATTCAATTTAAATTATATATTGCATTGTTTTTTTTTCTGTTTTCTGTTTTTTTGACAAAAAAAAAAATTAGCTGTCAGATGAAATTATATAATCCTACTTTTATATAAAATGTAAAACAATAAAAAACTTACAATTATATCCATTGTTTGTTTCGAAGCGTTCACACCACGTACACACATATAAACGAAATCAAAACATTCGAATCAATTAGAAACAAAAAAAAAATGTCATCAGCAATCAAATTTTCAATACTTATTTTGGTCACAGGTTATATTCAGCTAATCATCAATGATGTTAATGCATCAGATTTTATGATTTCGACCAATAATTATCCACCATTAAATAAATGGTATTTGGATTATCATCCATATGGTGATGGTGGTGGTGAATCAATCGGTCGACGATTTACAACCGAATATGAATCGAATGATAATGATATTCATTATGATAATGTTGGTGGTGGTAATGGTGGCCGTAATAAACGTGGTGATGAACCATTCAGTACAGATGGTGGTAAAAGTGTATCAAATATTCGTAAACCATTATTATTTAAACGTGCAACAACCAATGTTCGTAAACCACTTTTATTCAAACGATATATTGATGATAATAATAATTCCAATAAAATTAATCAATTAACCGATCGTATCGATAATGATGATGGACAAGGTGATGATGAGCAACAATTTTTGCAGCATCTTTTTTCATCCAATCGACGTTTCACTTATTGATCATTCATTTCATTTTTTTATGTGTAAAAAAAAACAAAAATTTCTTTTCCAAAAAAATTTCATTTCCCTTGTTTTTCTGAATAAAAAAAAGAATTATTAATCATCATTATTTAAAGAACAATTTTTTTAAAAAAAACATTGAAATAAAATTATCAATTTAAACAAACCTGAAATTTTGATTATTTTGCGAAATTCAAAAACAACATCCGCTAAATTCAACAAAAAAAAAGAAATTCGAATCAATAAAAAAAAATTTAGTCTATAAACACAAACATTAAACACTCAGGTTAAAATAGTCAGCCTATTCAGTTTAGTTCATTCGATTTTTTTTTGCAAGTCACAGCCGTTCTGTCATCATTTTGGAAAATTTTCTTCTTTTGATTTTTTCTTGAGCAAAATTTCAAATCTAAAAAAATAAAACAATGATGAATTCTTCAACTAACATGGCTAATTTACCAATTAATGATCATCATCAAGGACCGAAACAGAATCGATTCTCACCATATACTGACAATGGAGGGTGAGTTTGTTTGTTTGTTTTGTTTGTCTGGAATTTCATTGATTTGATTTATTCGATGTTTGAATTAACAACAGTTCCTGTGTTGCTATTGCTGGTAAAGATTTTGCCATAATTGCATCGGATACACGTTTATCCGAAGGATATACCATCTATACACGTGATCAGCCGAAAGTTTTTCGATTGTAAGTTTTAATTTGTATTCGATTGATTAACCCTAAATATTGATTATTAATTGAAATCATCATCACTTTATACAGAACTGATCAAACTGTACTTGGATCTACTGGTTGTTGGTGTGATGTTTTAACATTTGTTCGTGTACTTCAAACTCGTATCAAGGTAATTCTCGATTGATTGATTGATTTGATTTGATTGAAATGATTGAATATTTGTTTTTTTTTGTTTTGTTTTAGTTGTATTACAATGATCATGGAAAAATGATGAACACACAATCAATTGCTCAATTAGTATCGAACATGTTGTATAGTAAACGTTTTTTTCCATATTATGTATCAAATATGGTTGTTGGACTTGATGAAAATGGTGCCGGTGCTATTTATGGTTATGATCCTGTTGGTAGTTTTGATCGTGTACGATTTTTAGCTACTGGTAGTTCATCACCATTAATACAACCATTATTGGATAATCAAATTGGTTTGAATAATCAAACCAATAAAAATGATTCAGATTTATCATTGGAAAAAGCAAGCCAAATTATTAAAGATAGTTTTATATCGGCTGCTGAACGTGATATTTATTGTGGTGATTCTGCATCCATTCATACAATAACCAAATCAAAATCAAACGATGGTTTTATTGATGAACGTTTTCAACTTCGAAAAGATTAAGAAAATTTGGGAAAAATTTCTTTATAAAAAAAGAAAAAATATTTGCAAAATTCAAAACAAAAGAAACATGATTAAATAAATAATTTTTTTTTCATTTTATTCAACTTTATTGCAATTTTTTTTTTTAAAAATCTATTATGATAATGATAATATTTTATTCACGAAAATTGATACCAGTATTTTTTGATATCCAATCAATATATTTGGAAACACGTGTAAAAACATCCGGATAACCAGGAACAGCACATGGAATTGAAAATGATACAATACCAATTTGTATGGCACGATTTCCTTTTTTTAAAATTAATGGTCCACCTGAATCACCCTGTTTTTGAATTTGGAAAAAAAATGAATGTTTAGGTAGGGTGTATGAATAGAAAACAAAACAAAAAAAAATTTTCAAAAATCAAAACTTACCATACAATTACCACGATGTGATCGACCAGCACAAACTTGATTAGTTGTTACCTGTATTACTCTATTGAATGCTTGATGACAAGTATTATGATCAACAACCATAAGATCAACACGTCTCATTAATTCAGGTGTAATACGATTATCTTTAGAAACAAAACCCCAACCACTTGAACTAACCATTCCATCATATTCATGTTGTGTTTGTAATGACAGACATATATTATTAATATAGATTTTATCTTTTTCAACATATTTGATTGGCCGTGATAAATGTAAAAGTGCAATATCATTTTGTCCGGTACGTTGTCGCCAACCTTCATGCACAATAATACGATCAACATCAATTTGTACAGCATGTTCGGAATCTGGTTGACGCCAATTTGTTGAACCGGCCATTATTTGTATCATTCCAGGTGTATAAACGTTTTTCATGCTTTGTTTTACAAATATCACAAATAGATTTTTAAAATGATCAAATCAAATCAATCAATAAATTGATTACCTTTCAACACAATGAGCTGCTGTCATAATCCATTGATTACTGATTATTGATCCACCACAAAAATGTTGCCATTTCCATTGCCATTCAGGATTGTTAATTGGTGGTGGTGGTGGTGGAGAAGGCTGAGGCTGAGGTTGCTTTGTTGGTGGTGGCGAAGGTGGTAAAGTGGGAATTGGCAAAATTATTGGCGGAATTTTCGGTGGTTTAGATGATGGTAAGGATGGCGGTAATGTTGGCGGTGACCATGTTGGTAATGGTGATTTAGTTGGAATAGGTGGTGGCATTGTTGGCGGTTTATTCGTTATTGATGGTGACCATGTCCATTGTTTTGGTGTTGAAATTATTATCGGCGGAAATGATGATGGAAATGGTGGAAATGTTATAGTAGGTTTATGTGTTGATGTAATCGTTGAAATTGGTGGAAATGTTATTATCGATGATGATGATGATGATGGCGATGATGATGATGATGATGATACGGGATAACGTTGTTGAGTTGTACTCGAACTTGGAAATGTTGGAATCGAAGGTCGTGTTGATGGCAATGGCGTTGATGATGATACGGGATAATGATGTTGAGTTGTACTCGTCGATATAATTGGATTTGGAATTGATGGTCGAGGTGATGATGATGATACGGGATGTTTAATCGAATCATTCGAATGTTTTGATGGCGGTGGAAATACATGATCAGGTGGAAATGTCGGCAAAGGTGGATATAGTGTAACTTTGGATAATTTACTTTCAATAATAACTGTATCGATTGGTAATGGTTTTAATATTGAATTTTGATTAATAATTGCACTTGGTGGATAAACTTTAATGATATTATTATTGGTGGTGGTCGTAGTTGAAGCATTTTTTGATGGTGGTGGTGATGGTGGATTCTGTAACCATTTTTTAATCTGTTCATCACTATAATTAGCATCACGTAAAAGATCTTCAATTAATAAATTCATTGGATTTTTTTCCCAATAAAATTCATTGATTAATGATTCATCACCATCATTATCAATATCAATATCATCAATGATAATTGTTTGATCGGTTAAAGATGGTAATGTTGAAACATTGGCCATATTGTTATTGTTATTGTTTTGATTGTTTTGAGTCATTCGAATACGAACACGTCTTTGTATGGATACTTGCCATGGAAATTCACCCAATGTAGCTATTTCACCATTTACAATACGTGTTTCAAGTATATTTTCCGATATTGTAAATTCACCACATTCTAATGAAACTAATTGAATAGAAAAAAGAAAGAAAGAAAGAAGAAAAATTGAATGAGTGAAACAAAAAAAAATTTATCAAAAATCAAAGATCAGAAAATGATATTTTTATTTTAGAAAAAATCAAATATCAAATCTTACAGCAAATTTTAGCTAAAATTGAATAAAATAATAATAAACGAATTATCAATAGAATGGGAACATTATAATAACGATTATGATGATCCATTTTTTATGGATTTTGGATCAACAAAAAAAAAATTCTGAATTTTTCGTTTGGTTTCTTTTTTGTCGTTGGTCAAAATATCACAATCAAGAAGATATCACAATTACCAAACATTCTAAATCTTTGAAAACTGACTATGTTTGTGTGTTGGTGTGTATGTTGGTGTAAAATGATGATCAATATTAACTGCCTTGATGGTGGTAACCTGTATTGAAAAAAAAAGGTTTGTTTTCCTTATAATTCCTTATGAAAATGATGTCTATTAATCTGGTTTTTGAATGGTTAATATGTTCAGACAAGGACACATCCCATGATCAACCATCTAACTAACTAACTAACTAACTAACCAAACAACCAATCAACGTTTTCATTCATTCATTCATCAAGTTGACCTGTTCAAACCGCTTACAAAATAGTTCTGTTTAATGAATAAAATTAAATCCAACGAAAAGTGATGTGTGGATTCATTTACCCCATTATACCCTACCCAGTTTTTTTTTCATTCATTTCTCAATCTGTTCCGGTCAAGTCCAGTTTTTCTTTTTTTAATCAATAAAAATATCATGATTTTTAAAAAGAATTTTCAAAATGTTTGAATATGTACACATCTGCATCTTCTATATGATTGTATCCAAACAAGTCTTCCTAACAGGTTTTCCTCTCTCTCTCTCTCTCTCTCTCTCTCTCTCTCTCTCTCTCTCTCTC